AAAATCTAATGTAATACACGTAGAAGAAGGATGTTGAAATATTGAAAGACATTTTAAATGAATCTGTTAAATTAATTGGAACGAGGAAAGATATCTGTGCTGTCTTCGTTCACATCCATAACAATAATTCACGTAATAACGGACTCCACGCACCTGCGTATACACGCGTGCGTAGTATATTTGCCAAGCCGCAAACGATCTACAAGCTTTTTTTTTCAAAAAATCTTGGCCTCGAGCCTGCGATTCTCGCGAGTCGATATTTATAGGGAACGAGCCCTAAAGCTCACCCTCGTAAGCGGCCAAACGAATACGGAGTACGCTTTTGGATCCTGACCTTGGCGTTGATGTGAGAAACGACATCCGAATGTGTCGTCTCTAAATCTCTTTTAAAAGAATCAACTTCTTCCACGAATTTCATTTCAAATGAAAAGTCCTTTTATACATCTCTCTTTTTGATCATGCCTTTGCTAGAAACGAATATCAACCCTTTGAACTTATGAGCTCAGCCCTGTGACATGACATTTTATTCAGTTTATAAAAAGAATTAGTACAAAAATTTTATTTAAAATTTACTTTTAAAGAGGATTACTACTGCATGATTTTTAGTAGACGTAATATAAGATATGTCAAAAATAACAAAAATATATCTAATTTAAAATAAGAAAACAATTACGATTTAGGTGTTTAAAATTAAAATAATAATCTGTTCTATTTTAAATGACAAATAATTAATAAGCTTGTTTAATCGATAACACTAAGCTACTCTACGTCTACACGTAATTCGTAACACGGTAGAGGGAAAAGGAAACCAGCCCTTGTCCGTCGCAACGTGGCTCATTGAAGCAGGTGTTCGATTAAGCATCGTGTTCCTTAAAAGGGGTTGGAAATGAGGATCGAAGAGTACAGAGTGAGAGAGACCACCACCCACCCTCCAGTGGTAGAGAGTTGCTTCGAGGGAAGGAGGTAGATAGAAAAAGAAGGATAGATAGTACTGAGAGAAATCAGAGTTCGATGGCCACCAAGAGATGGAAGGAAGGGTGGTTAGTTCCGGTGAGAACATGGATACTCAGGCGAACAGGCTGGGGCGACAAAGCGAATTCGAAGGCGACAAAACGTGGTGTGCACGCTCTGGCAATGCCACCCTGGACTGGCGTCCTCTCGATATGTCTGCTGGTGACGTTTCCATATATCATCGGAGTACCACCTTTCGTGAACGTCATTCTCTTCTCTCACTCCCCTTTTCCTCTTCACCACCCCCTCCTCCTTCCAACCTTCTACCTAGATTCCTCCTCCCTCATCCTACGTACCCTCTTTACCTCAGCTCGACCTGTTAACGTTAGAGCAAGCAAACTTGCCTCGAGTACCTATTGGCATATTCCGGACTAATACATGCTCGCAAGATCAGTCCTTGATGCCTATTCGTTGAACCGTACCGAAGGCCAGCTGTCTTTGAATCTCAACTATACTTCACACTTACCTACCTAACTACCTAACGAGTCAGCTAACTACTTTGAAATTACACTATTGTTAACCACTATCTTTTCACTATTGAAAATACATTTAACCAATCAAAGTATTACTTCGAGTCTCTGGCTTGATGTCAATTATTTTCTTAGATATTCCTACGTCGTGTTATTTTTAAAATTTTTAGATAAATACGAATGTTTTATTACGATAAAAATTTTATATCAATCTCTGTTGACAAGCAACAGAGGCAGTAGAAACTGCAGTAAAACAAACTAAAATATTAGGAAGCAAGTCTCACGCGCGATGCATATAATTAATATTTTTAAACGATCTAGAAAGATTTCTTTTTTTTTCAATGTAAACAGATAGATTATACGGATTTCGAAACACATGTCGCGTTATATGCATGCATCTTAATACACATACAAACCCGCGTAACGTACGACCGCGAGACTGTTTTATGCACATGTTTCTTTGATGCATACCATATTGCACGCATGTTTTACGACATACACATTACACGGCACATATGCTTTTGAGTAAGTACATGGACGGTTTGGTGAATGTGTTTTCTACTAGACGCATTTAACGTAGGATATATTTTTAGAATGGCAAACCACACGTGTAACGTGTATGAAGTTTAATAGGAGTATCATCGTATCGGACAGATACATTGTATTTGTACTCTCTGATAATTCAAATTCTAATAAAGTAGACTCGAAGAATTTACAAAACAAGTTTATCAATTAGCCCTTTTATTTCATTTACAGATATTACGAAAACGGTACCCTGCTAGAGGATGTACCAGTTTATGGTAAAAAGCCTAATCCATGGGGAGCCCATCATCAACAACAACAACAACAGCAGCAGCATCAACAACCTCAACAAACGGAAAACTCCTCATCTTATTGCTGGTATCATCCACTTCATGCAGCAGGTGGATCTATTCAAGGCCACGGACATGGACATGGCCACGGGCCTAGTCCCGTACCACCAAGCTTGGTCCAAATTAACCAGATAAACGCTTTCTCGACGCCCCATCATTTGTCTCAACAGCAACAACAGCTGAATCACATTCAAAACGGTTCTAGCTTCGACGACGAATGGAAAAATATTCACGTTATGTTGAACTGTATTCTTGGCATGGTAGAGAAGACGAAAAGAGCTTTGGCTATCCTTCAAAGACGAGGTTGTTCCAGTCCCGCATCGACGCCTGTACAACCGGCAAACGTGATAGTACAGAATGGCAATGCCAACAACACTACTGGCAATAATCCTTCGACCAATGGCGTTCAAGTGGAATCTTCAACCGGTGACAGAGATGGTAGCTTAAAACGTTTATCTGGAGAAATTGTTGCTCAAACTATTCGAGCTACCGAGGATAGGGTTGCCGAGGTGAAAAGAAGAGCAGGTAATTTTAAAGCTATTTAAACAATCATTATTAATTACATTATTCCTTCAAGCTAACATTATATATATCATTTGTAGAGGAGGCCGTATTGGAAGTTAAAAGAGCAGCTGTTGCTGAAGTTCAAAGAGCAGTTGCGGTAGCGGTTGCCGAATCGAGAGCAAGCGAACGTTTGAGAGTACATAGACTTTTGGATTTACCACTATCTCAAAGAAGTCACGTCGGTGTCCGTCAAGCTTCTTTCGTTAGGGTTCACGGAAGTTCCAATGTGGTAGATACCAATGGTAGAACCGCTCCAACACCTACAAATGCTTCTAATTCGGCACCGTCCGCTACCGAAGATGACAAAGATACACATCTAACTAATATAGTAGGATCGGTATGTACAATATTTCGTTATATTTTTAAACAATAAACGTAAATTAAATGAAACCAATGAATCGAATAAATTATTTTCACAGAGCTGTTGGAATTGTGGCAGACCGGCATTGGAAACTTGTGGTGGATGTGGAATCGCAAGATATTGTGGTTCCTTTTGTCAACATCGTGATTGGGAAGCTGGTGGACATCATGCAACATGCAATAATCCTTTACCACGAGAACCTCGAAGATCGTCTTCGCGTAGTCCACCTAGAATCGGTACAGCTAACGTAACAGGAAGTATTAATGACGCAGAAGGTTCGACCGTGTCGGCAGCCACAGCAAATACTATCTCCAAAGGAAAGTGACGACATGAGGGAAAAAGTCACGTGCCACTACGATTAGCCAGACCGATCTATTTCGATCCACGTTAATATTCCCTAGCAGAAAACTCAAAGAGACTTCTTACTTTGTTAAGGACTCTGCTATATTTTCCTCTCGCTTTCATACTCTTCTTCTTGTTGTTCTTCTTCTTCTCTATTTTCTTTTCAAGAGATTTTTTTTCGAAGTATAGATTGTGTTTTTAGAATGCGATTGATACAAGGATGAATTTTATTATCCTAGTGATTTATTGTTCTTATCGTTAAACGAATTTGTTAAATACTTTTATGTTATATATCGGAGAAAAGCTATATCGAAAATGTTGAGTAATCAAATAAGTTACGATTCGCTTTATAAGATCATCATCTTGAAAATGCGATCAACTGGACAACAAGACTAATCCTTGTATAGTTCTTGTAAATACCATGTTAATTAAATGTAATAGAAATGTGTGGACGTATTCGAATACGTACGACGTTTGTTGGGTATGACGAGCGTCCTAGGCTTCTACCATTGGTCATCTATGTTGCTAATTAATAGTCAACGATTTACATTGTAAATGTGCATGCACTTGAAACGAAAAATTGGTGTCAAAGTTTCTGCTGTTCAATGGCAATTAACATTTTCCAATATCCGTAGTTGATCAAATACGTTACCTTAAGTATTAAACAGAAATCGTTTCAATCTAAATATCAAATTCTATTTGACAAAATCAAATAAGATATTCTTTGTACCAAAAATTGGTGTTTTTTCCTATATGAAATTTGTCCGATATTATCAATATCTTATTGTTTTATTTATTCGCCATCTCTGTCTGTCTCTATATTTCTTCCTCTCTTTCTCTCTCTCTTAATCCTTTCGTTACTAGCAACCCATGTAGGGATCCTTACTATGCGATGATACGCACGTACGCGTGAATTTATATGAAACGATACTCACGCCAAAGAATGCCGTAACGAAAGGATTAATATTTCATCAAAATGCAATTATAATCTAACAATAAGATCTAACACGTGTTAAGGAATTTGATTACTTCTAATGAAAGCGTACACAACAAACGGCTTACATCGATTTTACCCTAGTCAATTGATAGACTTAACGATTGTAATGACAGATGTAACGAGATTCTTACTTCGATTAATCGGATTATAATTAAGTGTGTATCTTGAAGTCTAGTCACAGACGATGTTTACAAGAAGACGAATTTATTGGTTATACATATTAGAAAATTTTTCTCTAACTTGAATAACAATTTATTGTAACTCCTTCCGGGCACATTGCATTGCAGGAATATACGATGAATTTTATGGAAATGTATTTATGAAATAAAACATTAAATATATATATATATGATTATTCTATGTCACAATAAAAAAAAATGCGAATTATCTGTCTAATTAAATGTTTCTTTAATACGTATTTATATATATATATATAAAGTCATTTAAATTTTTCCAATAGAAACTTTTTCTTGAACACTAGCTTTGCATAGGAGGCTTTTTGATTATATCGGCAAAAAGAGCCTTCATTTTTTCCCCTTTTCCTTGAGACTCACTCCATTCCTTTTTATTCCTAATAAACAAAGATACGTTTAATTTATTGGATATTATTTTACCCGACTTACTGGAACGTAAGATTTCTCCAGCAGCTGCCAATTCTTCCATGATAAGCAATCTTTGCTTTTGACGCGAACAAAGCCAGATTTTGTCCAAACATCTAGACCCATGAGTGCTTTGAGCTAATTGGGCCCAATAACCTTGCAATTTTTTGGCAAGTTTTTCTCTACTTTTTTCCCCAATATATTTGCTATCTATAAAAGCATCTATGATGCGACTACCTTTCGGATTACTTATCAAATTTAACAATTGTTCGTTGTTTATGGCCAACAAAGAGTTAACGAGTTTGATTGGTTTATTGAAGTTAAGCACAGCTTGTACGATCAAGCTTCCATGCAAATGGACAGGCAATTCCATTTGATCTTTTTCTTCTAATGATTCCAATTCGTTTTGTTTCTTCAACGTAACAATACACTTAATGATTTGATATTGTTTTTCTTCCGACGTATCGCACTCGAGCGTCTTAATAATCATAGTTACAAATGCACCCTGTTTAGTTTGCAATCTTTTAGATGCATTAGCTATACTTACTAAAATTCCCGTATAGTCTGCTTGTAAAATATTTGAAAGAAGTGCTTCAATTTCCTCAAATATTTCTTCAAAAGTTTCTTTAGACTCACAATGATCTAATAATTTTTGTATACTAAAATTAGTACCCTGCGTTGTACATAAGCTTTTTAAATTACCCTTAAAATATTCCTTATAAATATGATCCAAAGATTGTGATTCAGCAATCACAAGACAAGCTTCCAAAAGTCTGGTAGAACTTTCGCAGTCAAAAATATTAGACAATTTTCCATCCTCTTTAGAACTGAAACACTCCTTTGTAATTTTTGTGACATAAGATTCCGTTAACTTCTTATCCACATTTTTTAACGAATACAAAATACTTTGTAATAATCCTGAAGTTAATTCGTCTTTACCAAATTCAAGAAACTGTGGCCACTTAAACAATCTGTTGCAAGCGTCGATTAAAAGATCTTTATACTCTTGTATGACTTCTCGTCTTTCTATAGTAGATAACATTCGCTTTGTTCTATTCTGTCCATCGCTTGTATCTATTAATCCACCGAGACATTCCATTACGGTTCTTAAGAGATGATTAGCATATGTGTCCCAAACAAATTCTTCTAAATTATTTATTAAATATTTGCTCAACTTTATAACTATATCATTATATAATTTCACTTCAGATTCTTTCACATCTATAACGATGTCCTGTTTTTTCTCTGTTTCTTTTGTTTTTGATATTTGTGACAAAGTTTTGGATCTATTTCCTCTGTCCGCGCAAACCACAATGATTTTTTCCAAAACATGACTGGCAAATGTATCACAACTTATTGGTCTCAGAGAAGAACTAAGAGCATTCGTAAACCTTTGAATTGCTTCTAAATTTGCATATTTCAAAAGCGATTCCAAGACTCTCGAACCAACTTGATTTTTAGAATATTCAACCTCATGACCAACCGATTGTTCGTACACGTTGTTAATAAAAATTAATTTTTCTTCAACGCTTGGAAAATCTTCCCGCATCAATTCCAAAATGCGAACCATGTATTGATACGTTTCCGTATCAAGATCCGTTCCGTGATATCTTCGACGAGCAAATTTTTTCGCCATTTGAATATTCGAACGTTTCTTCTTTCGCTTTTTACCTTTTTCGTTATGCGTATGAATATCTGCCATTATTAATTATTTTATAAAATCACTGATTATTTCGTGAAAAAAGAACTTTTCTATAACCTAACCTACTTTGCGCCTTTAATCACGCTTTCACTTAACACCGCAAGAACTAGGATACAACTAGCGTCCTCTACTAACGTGACGAGCACCATCTAGCGTTTTCGTAAAGAGCGTCATCTACAATTAACGCGGGACGATTCAAACCACAAATACGAACAAATGAAAAAAGAAAAATAATTGTCAAAAAAAAGTAATATATATATGTAATAATATTGATAGAAAATATTCTTAATATATAAATTAGATTATTCTTGATATACTTTTAATTTACGAAAAAAAGAAAGTAAAATATGAGAAATCGATCTTGGCATTGCAAAGAACTAATTGTAAGATCAGTTCCGTGACTCTCGCTGACCTCGCCCCCATATAGTAACGTGCACTTCTTGCTAATAAACGTAGTTAAAAAAAAATATGCTTTGCATATAAGTATCGTATGTATGCAACCAAGGAGGCGCGGCAGTCTCGACGGTACTTCATCAGACAACGGAATAGAACAACGGTATTCGATAAAAGGTCAACAAACGCATATGTGCATATACGTATGTAATGATACAGTAATAGACGACCGGGCAGACAAAACGTATCGTTCATTTATATATATATATATATATGTTATATATCATTAAATCACCTTTCATTTATTTGCATAACACTAGGTAAATTATTATTTTACACGTTTCAGAACAAACCTATATATAAAAAAATTGACAGACAAAGGAAATGATGCCTAGTCAACAAGTCCCCATGTTTATCTTCTTAAATTCTACGATGATAATCTTTACACGCTTATCTACTCTAGCTAAGAAAGAGAAAACTCTGTGTAGTGGACGTAATAACGCGTTAACGTGAGAAAGTTTTTCCTTCCTTGACCAAAACGGAAGAAAGACAACAGTTCTTTGGAACTCACTAGCTACTACTGCCTGTCGCAAAAGACTTTGTACGTGTCGTATGATAGATTTTTTTCCTACCATAGACAACGACAACGATGACGATAATGACAAAGCAGAGAAATCTATTCGTACAAAAACAAATTTCTCTGCTGCGCTACTATATAAATCAGTGATTCCCAAACTTTTTTGTCCTTTCGCCCTCTTTCCAGAAAAAATATTACTTATCGCCCCCCTGAAAACTAAGTTTTGGTTTTCCTTTTTTTTTAGTAACTTAAAAAAGAAAATTCATCGCCCTCTTTCCTTCCCAAATGCGCCTGTAGCCATCATCGCCCCCCCCCCTGAATCACTTCATCGCCCACTTTGGGAACCACTGATATAAATCATTGCCGTTCTTCGAAGGCTCCTAAAAACAACACTGACCGTAAAACGGCGGGAAGAATATTTATCTTATCTAATAGCTCAAATAGATAGTAGTATCGTTGTCTGCGATTTAGATCAGCATGGGCTATATATGTGACTCTAGAGGAGACCTTCTCGGATAATAAGTGAGAAAAACGGTCCAGTACATAACATCAGACTATCACGTATGGGTGCCTTCCGACGTACGGACAAAATTTGTTTACTAATTGACTCCACCCTTCATACGAACAACACACGACGCGGCGCGTTTTCAATAAAACGTTTAAAATCGATGTAATGCTTAGAGGTAGGCAGCCTTGAACACATGGCTTTCATGATATTCATTCATTCATTCATTCATTCATTCTTCTTCTTCTTCTTCTTAATCTTATTCTTTTTTTTATATAATTAATCTCACAAACGATATAGACTCTTTGATCGAGGCGATAATAGCTTATCTTTAATTGAATTTCAACTAAGATCCCTTTTCGTTTATCATCAAGACTCTTTTTCAACGACAAAGAAAAAGAGACAAAAAGAGAACTTCAAAAAAGGATTTTCAACGTCTTTTTCCCTTTTTTTCTTTCTTTCTTTTCGTGCAGATTTTCTCTTTTACAGGAACTCTATAGAGTTAGTGGAACACACCGGAGATCTTTTCGTTCTTTTACAAAGAATCCTCCGTCAAACGGCTCCGTATTCCTCGCTGGATGGTGATTCGTCGCTAGGTGGTGGTCTTGGTGGTCTAGGTGGCCTCGGTGGTCGATGATGATGCACCACAGGTGCTAATCTTCTTGGTGCTGGTGGTGGATGTACACCATAAGAAGTATCATCCCCTTCTTCGCTACTTGGCGACGGCGATGGAGCTCTATCTTCTTGTTCCTGTAATAGTTGTCGAAATTCTTGGATTGATTCATTCAGGGACCAAAGTTGAGAAAGCAGAGAGAGATCCAATTGTCGTAGGCCAAACTGAAACACAAAAGTAAATATTTAAAATGCATAATGTAGGACCGGTGCAATTTAAAGTCAAAAATGAAAATTATAAATCAACAAAATATTCGAAAGAAAGAGTACTGTACTATTTAAAATACACGACCCGTACCTGTGGGATTAGAGAAATTCAAGAAGATAAAGAAAAAAAGTATTGTTTATCCTAGGTCCTAAGGATTATTTCAAAGTTTTATTCGATTCCAAATATACGCTGAAATACTTGAGTAAGAAGAAATATTGTGTTAAAGCGCCTGGAGGGTCTATCTCGTTCAACATTCACTTTTACCGTGCGAGTCGAGGTAAAATGCTTACTCGTGATTTATGAACCGAAGTGCAACGTTTTCAAACGCCGTCGTGCCTGTACTCGTGGGAATGGCAGAAGAGGGAACACACTATAAGAGAGAGAGAGAGAGAGAGAGAGAGAGAGAGAAAGAGAGAGAGAGAGAGAGAGGGAAAAAGAGAAGAAGCATAAAATGAGAATGGGAACGAGAATGGTGAACGTGAAGACAGAAAGAAAGAAAAAGAAAGAAAATGCAGAGAAAGACTGGATGGAGAAGAGGCTACCACCAAAACCAAACGAAGGTGAGGGAGTCACGCCTGAGGGAATGCAGCGTGGGAGCGGCTGTGCCAGTTCACTTCTCGTCTGGATTGACTATCAAAATATTAAACCAACTTTAATAAATATATATATATATTTACTAAATATCCGATTTCTACGATATCAACAATGTGATTTATTATTTTTCAATATATTGCTTAGTACTATAAAGACAGTCAGTCGGTATAATTAAGTTAAACAATTTATTTGCAGACATCAACTTTCATCAATGTAAACAATAATAATGATGTGCATTAATAAATGAATTAAAAAATGACAACTTTATTGTCTGCTTTTTAATGATAATGTAAAAAAGGTAGGAGGAGGGTGTGGAGGAAAAGAGTAAAGAAAAAAATTTACGTGTCCTTTTCTTTTCTGTTTCTCTCTCTCTCTCTCTTTCTCTCTCTCACTGTGTATTTTCATCGCTTCATTTCCCGACGCTTTTAGAATGCCGTCGAATTCATATTCACTGTACTCTACAGTTTACCCACGCACAACAGTGGCCTCGAGGTAACGGGTCGAGCCCCGAGTTGAAAGAAACACGAGAGAATTGTGAACAAAATACAGAGGAACAGGTGACTTAATACTAGACAAAATAAAAACCAAGAACGAAGATGATGTCAATCGCCGTATTTTCGAATGACTCTTGAGCTTGCTAGAAAAATTCTACATTGATCAATTATAAAAAAAAGACGTAGAAACAACAAATATATAGAATTAATCAGAAACAGCGTAGAAATTTCCATCGACTGGTAAATAGATTCTCCCTATTCCTCACTCCTATCTTCCTTTTTTTCCTTGTACAGAAAACGTTGTATACACGATTAATGAATACCATTAGAACTAACGATCATATCCGTTAAAGAATCCACGATTTTCGTGGAAAACGATCCTTAGTACAAAATACTTCAAGATCTATTATCGAATTCTTTCAACACTTTCTCTTTGGATAATTGAAGCTATTACGTTACTTTAAAAGACGAATAAGTGGTTCAGAATGCGATGTCAAATCTACTTGCTCGTAACAAGACGATTAACTTTTTGTGTTAAATTATTTGAACATTACTGTCGAATAAAAGCTAACATTTGCTTTTATTTAGACGAAAGAACTGTAAATCGATATAATAACAAACTCATGATCATTCAAATTATTTCAAATTATTTTTAACTCTTATGTGTTGCATAAGTTGCATGTGCACATGTATAACGTGAAAATACTTACGACGGTTCAACGTGTTAATAAAATGTTTCCTTTTTAGGGTAAAAAAAGTAGTATTTAATAATCACCATTTCTCTTCTAAGTATCGCTAACTGAGTATCCAAAGTGGTGAGTTGTCTCGCAGGTGGAGAAGGTCTCGAAGTAGAAGTTTGAATGGACGTTTTCCCGCCTCTTTGCGATTTACTGGATGATCTCGTAGGTGGTGGGGGTGGCTCGGAAGCTCCGCTCAAATTGAATCCACTGAGACTTCTTGGCAACGGTGGTAGCCCCTGCAGGGAAGACATCGCGATCCTTTCCTGTATGCTGCGAAAGCAAAGAGATAGAGAACCAAAGATAACGAGTTGTTCTTTGCGGTTAAAAGAGGAAAGGAAACGACGTACCGTTATAAGCGGCTTTGCGGAATAAAAATCGATCGGTCTTTGCCTTCCCCAAGCTTCCGATCTCAGCAGAAAGTAAGGGGAAGGGCAGGGGAGGGAGATAGAGATACAGAAAATGAAGGGGAGAAAAAAATTTACTGAATGAGTCATCGACCCTATCGGTTTCTTTTCTTTCGGCTTTTTTTCCAAATAAATTCTTTCTTCTATTTGCTTTATAGAATAATTTCTTTCGATAAATAAGAATTACTACATACTAACTATATATCATTAAAATATATATAATAATTTTTTATGAATTTAAATTGATTTAATTTAATTTAACCCTTTCATTATTAGCTATCTATATACGAGTCGCACCCATGCAATGGTCCTTATGAACGACTAACGAGTTTTTATGGAAATTATTACTCGCGCCAAGACATGCCATAACGAAATAATAAATATCATTTCATTCAATTTAAATTAATTGATGAATTTAAATAGATGAAACATCGATACACGGAACCTTCGTGTACTTTTTTTTTTGAAATAAATTATAATTAATGACGTACATAATGTACTTGTGTACATATATACGTGATGAAATTAATGATTGAAACATAAACTACAATATAATGTTGATTTAGTTGAGTTCAAGGGAGCGTTCGAGATATAACAGCGTGCATCATGAATGACTACTGTTCTCGAATAAGAATTTCTAAAGCAAGCATGAGATTGTAACGTTTAGATTGTTTCTAGGTCTTGAGGATCGAGATCACTTTGATAATTAATACGTCATCGTTGATACGTTCCGTCGATGCTTTTATAGGATGGGTTATTGCTAATCATCAGTAGGAAAAAAAAACAATTTTATTACAAGCTTACAATGACGTGTTATTCGATGGACAAAAATAACAATTGCCTGAGGCCCTCAAAGTCCCCAAATAAATACTCTATAAACTCATTTTTGTAGTCAAAAAGAATAAGAAATTAAATTTCGTTTTCATATCTGGAAGTAGAGAAAAAACAAAAAATATGGACCAAAAGAAAAATTCAAATTTACCCAGGGTCCTGTAAGTAAAGTAATAAAACGTGCCGCTGTAAGCTTAACAAAAATATATTTTTATGAGTAGCCAATAAATTCTTACGTAACATTGAAATATAATAAATCTTTCAATAGTTATTGAAACTATTGATATAGTATTGGTAAAATAAACGTAATAAATTTATCGCGCAGTTTATCTCGAATTTCTTCCGACGAATAGAACCGTTAACGAGTATCGAAGCTACTGTCACGGTCGGACGCTTTGAAAAACGATAAAAAGACAAAATAGGACGATCGAGAAACAACCTCCGTTGATCCTCGATGCAACCCTACATTTTTCGCTCACATAAATCGTGTTCACCAACAGCATCTACCTCGCAAACTCATAAATGTTATGTATGTTTATTTAAAGAAAATACTACTATCGTTTTTAACGTGATCTAGTTTTACAATATGACACATTCGTAAAGCAAATCCTACGATATAGAAAATAAATTTACATTGAAAAATGATCAAATCAATACTGACCTATTATTCCGACCTATTTATATTTATATATTAGTTTTTTTGCATTAATATATTTTATATTATATATTACTATATGATCATAGTTAAATAATTATTGAATAAACTTGAAACCGTTTCATTATTACTGACCCGTATACAAGTCATCTATGCAAAGATCCGTATATACGAGCGAATTTATATGAAACGATACTACTTTTGTAACGAAAAGGGTTATTAAATAATCGTAAAATAAAATGATAAAAAATGACCATTGAATGGTCACGTATATGTGATAATGAAATAAACGTTTAACTCTTCCCTCAGGAGCTATTTGAACTCGATTGGAATGATGGACCACGCGAGATGATCCCTATGTACAGTTAGTCTGATAAAGTAATACCTGACGAAGTCAAGGTCGACGGTGCGTTCGTCCTCGGGACGATCGTCGTATCCATTAACGTGTTCAACGTCAACAAATGAAAATGAGAGACCGTCGGCATCTTCGTCTCCTTGAAGAGTGATCTGCGTAGAGGAATAACGGACACCGGCCTCGAGCCAATCCTGTCGATGAATGTTGTTGTCATTGTCCTCTTCCTCGTCGTTGTACGTAGCTTTACCATGTTCAGATTCCTCGACGACTACTGTTCCATGTTTCTCATTTGTTATACTCGACTCTTTCTCGTCTTGTTTATCACACTCATCATCATCATTATTATCATCATTATCATTATTACGATCATTATCATTATTATTATTAGTAGTAGTGTTGTTGTTATTAATATGATTATTATTATTGTTATTATTACTATTATTATAAGATTCGTGGGAATTAGAATCTTTTCGAGATAGAGCAATAAATTCTTGGTTTGCAGCAGGTGATCTTCGTGCGGTCGTCGGCCGCCCATCAAACTTGCTCATCGCTTTCTCCATGTTCAAGGATTTCTCAGGCCTGATTCTTGGTTTTCCTTTAAATCCTACATCATTATTACTTCCTATACCTGGTATCTTAGTTTCTGAACTTGAATGACGTTCGTCTTCGAACGAAACGTTTGATCTTATTGGATTTTTTGTCATTGCCAACACATTATCTTCCTTATCCAATATTTTGAAATTGATTGTTCTGATATCTTTGATGCCAGATAAGTCAGTATCTATTTTTCCAAATGATCGTCGACTTTGAGAATTAGATTGATCTTTGAAATCCTTGAAATCGGCACGATTTTCTAGACGTTGTCCCTCCGGTCGAGGATCCCCTATAGGAGCTCTTTCTACACCTCTTCCTCCACCTCCGCCACCGCCTCCACTGCCACCTCTTTTCTCCCGTACGACTACCGACTCCATAGAAATATCATTTTGTTCGAGGATAGGCTGACGGTGCCGCCTTTCTCGTAGATTTTCACGACGTTCGTCGTTGTTATTGTCGTTCCTTTCACTCGGTACGTAAGTTTGTTGCTGTTGCTGATGCTTGTCATAAAGCTGAATCGTTCCGGTACTTAATGGACTTTCAGCTTTCATGGATTCATAGATTATAGTACGTCCAGCACCTGGACATCCTTGTTGTTTCTGCTGCTGCTGTTGTTGATCATTCTGATCAAATCCCCATGGTTTGGTATTTGGAGGTGGCGGTGCCTGTCTGGTAGGACAGGGTGGTCTGGGTGATCTTTTCAGTGCTTCGGCTACCACCTGCCGACTTGGTCTAGGTGGTACTGGTGGTGGATGAGGTCTTTGTGTTGCTGCTAACTGCATCTTACTTGGACTATCGTTAAATATCCAAATTTAAAATCTTTTCTTATCAAATAAAACTCGACTATTCTCGTAATAACGAGAAATAGATATGGTTTATCACAAAGCAACTATTTACATCGTACCTTCTTTTATTTCTTTATTTCTTTCGCAATGTAACGTTAGCATGCAAGGTATTCTCAATCCTTCTCGTTGTAGCAAAACATGCTTACGATGTTTTCTTCGTCGTTACACACATTCTCGGACTTCTTCGTATCTACGAGGAATCTCGTAGCACACGCCGTTGCGTCGTAACTTCGATTCTTTGAGATGCGTCATCGACTTGATGCGATATAAATAGTTACCAGGAAATCATTCGAGATAAACCTTTTGAACCTTTTTTTCTTTTTCCCGTCTTTTCGTACGTTACGAGGTTTTATTTTTGAAACCAAAATACAAGCAAAAGAAAGAAATATAGGATTCTTTTAGTTCAACAAGCATCCAGAGATCTCTCTCGAACCCATAGACTTGTATTATTCTCGATTCCTTTTCTCTTTCTCTTTTTCTCTCCTTTAATATTCCACTCTCGATCCTTTATTCTTTTTTCTTACCTGGAAATCTCTTCGTCCTTCTTTTATATTTTCTCTCTCCCTCTCCCTCTCTCTCTCTTTTAAACACAGTTCCTTCTCTCCGTCAGACGAAGAATTTTCTAATCGATCGGATCAGATTCGTATTCTATTTTTCGTCGAGTAATATATATTCAATAGAGTCACTAAAAAATTTCTTTATCCATTTTATCACAAGTATTAAACGAAAAGGTGTTGTATCGGGATACGATACACAAACTGATGTGGAATCTTACGAAGTCGTTTGACAAATAATTCACGCAACAGGAAGAAAGAAAAGAAAACCGCAGAAAAAGAACTTTCAAAAAAGTATCCCCGTTGTCGGTTAACGCATATCAGTAGGAAAGTGTTGCGGTATCCAACAACGAGCGAGAGCGGCTTCCTTCGCAAGATATCCTCCCTCCTTCCTCCCTACTACTGCACTACTACTACTACTCTTCAAAGTCCTCTCTCCGTCTCTGTTTGCCTGTTTCCACAAGGGAGTCTTCGTAAGATCATAAGTTCTCGTTCACCTCCGTCCTCTCTTTTCCTCCAGCTCGGAGAACAGCCCGTCGAATACTGACTTCACGATCCCAGAAACATCCTTCGCGTTCAACAGACCACGTGACTTGTTCGAGCTCGCGTTCTCGGGGGCATCAGGTAGGCAACTCGCTCGGTGCTGATATTAACCGGCTATGGGCGAACACACACACACACACACAATGTTACATCTTACGTATGTGTAACCTGTATGTGTCCTCTTTCTTTCTTTCCCTCTCTCTCTCTCGCTCTCGCCCTTTTTTTCTCTACACATACAAAGAAAATAACAGATACATCAATTACGTTTCTCTGGCTAGGTACGACGAGGTTGTAGGTGTAACGTCAAGCTATAGGCTTCGTGGTGTCGTTCTATCCAATGAAAAAGAAGGACAAAGACAGCGAGAGACGGAAAGTAGAAGAAAGACGAAGGAAGGAGATCGAAAGAAGAGAGAAGGAGATAAGGGAAGGGGCCCATTAGGTGTCCCCTGCCTCCTCCTCCTCCTCCTCCTCTTTTCCTCTTCTTCTACCTCTACCTCTACCTCCACCATACCGACCTGCCAGCCACCATTCTCCAGTGCTGTACATGTTTTCTCTTGCTCTCGGGTTATTCTTTTTATGAATCATAAAAAATTGAAATATGTTCTTTTTCATAAATATTATTTTCTGATCAGTTGTTAGTTCCTGCCTTCGATTATCGATATATAAAACTTTCATAAGGTAGTTGAATTTTCTTCATAATTCTCATTTTCGATCAATTGTGAGAAATTCGTGTAAAGTCCTCGTCAGATGATTACAAAACAGTTTCATTCCTAATGTAAAGTGATTCAATTAAGACGATACATTCATATATAATATATAAGGGAATATATATGCACATTGATTTGGCCTTGAAAACGTACGAAAGAATATTTATTGTTTCTTTAAAACAATGCGTTGCATGAGCGATTACAACATGACTTGCGGACTATGATCACTGAATTACAATGTTTCCTTTTTATTGTTTTTTTCTTCTTTTTTTAATTAAATCGATGAATCATTTCTTAATCGTTATTGTCAATATTTTGTTCTCGATTTATTTAATTTATCAATTTACAATGTATTTGTATTCATATAACCGTTTCTTTGTAATTTTTTGAGTATATTATCTTATCGAATTTTCAAGATTATCCAAAATTTGAAAATACAATTAAAGTAATTAGTATCGTGATACCTAAAAGGAATCATTTCCTCCTTACTAACAAGAAAAGTAACTTGTACAACCGCGTGTAAAACACGCAAATCAGATGCTAATTTTATAGATCACGTGTGTCTTTGTCGTCGTCGTCGATTACCTAATTAATAATTCAATAAAATTCTTAACGAATGACACTCAGTTGCCGTGAAACGTGTCAAAGGAGGAAAGAAGGACAAGGAAAAGGTAAATGGATATTTTTTTCTTGACCACTCGCATGTTTTCGACTCAAAGTAAACATACGAAATCATTTATTAAAAAATCTAACATTAAAAAAGAATTTACGATGATTATTGTAATTATAATTCAATAAAAATGTTAATACATTTTGCTATTAACGCAAATGTTTTGTTTCAATCTTTGTAAAAAGTATTTATCAAAATGGTCAAGTAAAAGTTCAACCTTAAAAAAATGAATTTTCGATAATAGATACAAGTATATCTTTCAACGAATTATAAAATAAATAGAATGATTAATAACTTTGAATCGAGGAAGAAGATAGCTACGTTGGCGACTCGATCTCCCTCCTTTCTATTACATTTTGTTCGATTGTCGAATGAAGTAAAATCGTTACGCATCTTGTCCGGCATTGAATAACATACGCATGTTCCATTCACTTTGACTTGCTTATTACGAATGAAGAAAATTGTTTACATATTATAAAAGACGATGATTTTCAAATGAAATTAAATACAAATTTCTCCGTTTTGTAGTGTTTGTACAATTTCTTTTTTTGACTTATCTGATAGAGACGCCGTTATGGTGAGATCGTTTTCATCGGTCAATAGTATTTATACGTGATTCGTACGATAGATAAATAATTATTTCTCTATGTAGAAACACAAGGACCGAAAGCCGAAGGAAAAACGTTGTTACGTAAACGAAACTGTGTAAGTAGGAGGATCATTGAAGGTTTTACACATTGTGCCGTTACGCTTCGAACGCAGTGCTATTTAATCCGGCACCTTGTATTTAGCGCCAACGCGAGATTTCATGAAAAGCTCGCGCGCTTTTCAAAAGATATAGTGCCATGCGTCTTACATCACTATGATATCATCGTTATTGGAATTTCTCTATATTTGGAATTCGTTGAAAAACACATTATCGGTCGTTACAAAAATTTCTATATAAAAATACTAATTTCTTTCTTTTTGAAAAATTCAAAGATAACTAATTAAATTTTTATTCTACAATTTGATTTTAACACATATATGTATTAGATGAGTTTTAATATCATTATATTTCATAGAAACATATTAAATATTTTGTAAAAATGATAAATATTAACGATTATAGAGACAAATTCTTTATAAGGCGGAAGTGATTTGTAATCAATGCAAGTAGTACGTACAACAAGAGCCAAGCGAGTAGTTAAGTGAATTCATTATAAATTATTTAAGTAAAATCCTAATCTAATCTAATCGTTAAGGTGAAGAAATGTAAAATCGATGAAAACGCGCGGCAACCGAGACTAACGTGTTTAATAAGTTTATTATGATAACCTAAATAGAAGAAAACCGCTTTCTTCGATCTATTCTGCACTCGTGACCCACTATAAGCATAGAATAGATGAATATATTACGTTACGGTTCATAAACATATAATTACGCGTTATGAGTCTTAAGTATAACAGATCAATGCCCTGTGTATAAAAACAAAAGGCAGAAAGAGAGGGAAAGAGAGAAATTTGCATAGTTTTTTTTATTTTTTTTTTATTCTCTTATATATAAGGTGAGATAAAAGTCGTTTTTCTTAAAATAACTCTAAATACATTTTCAGAACAAAATCGAGGATTAGTCTTCAAATTCTGGAGTAATTATTCTAATAAACTTTTGCAACTGATCCAAATATTGTTAGATCTGTACAAAAAAATATAATGCTCTCTGAGGAAAGCAACTTTTATCTAACTCTATATATGCATGGATGATTTGTGAACAAAATTGCGTCGAGAACCGAACCCAAGATTTCTGTTTTCCGAGTAATTGTTCTAACCTTTGAGCAATATACAGGGCCCTCCGGTCAATTTCTTCACGAATGCTTATTTTATTTGGAATACTTGATCCGACATGCATATTGCAGATAAATACTCACATATTCTTTCATCTACGTGTTATCTCGTTCGGCAGATCGACTGATGTGTGTGACGCGTAATGTGAGCGTAAACAACTTTCGTAGTTGGCAATCGAAGTCGTAGATGTGAACGGCGCAAAAATCGTTGAATTCTTAAATCGAACAAACGCTGTGCAGTTCCTCTCTTTCTTTTTTTTTCTCCCTCTTTCCAACAAATCGTAGTACGCTTTCCAAGAAGACGAGGAAAACTCTATCTTCTGATTAATTCCAACGAAGAAGGCCAAATTACGCGGTACTTTCTAAACTCACACGATTTATTAACCATATTATAAAAGAAAAAAAAAACATTCAATCGCGAGATCAACCCACACACGTTCGTTCTTTTTTATTTTACTGAAGGTAGGGAAAAAAAAAGAAACAAAAAAAAACAAAACAAAATGACGGCTATCGCGAAGGAAGAAGAGCGCGAAAATTGAAGAGACCGTCGGGGGTAACTATCGCGCGAATGACTTTCGATTGACGTACGATTATTATTGAAAAGGGTTCATGAACTTTTACAATTAGATGAATCGAAAAAAGTGTGTTATTGCGTTACACATTTACCTGATTATTTGGTACGTGCTGACACCTGCGGGAACATTGAGAAAACATTTACTCTTTGAACTTCCATTCTTGACGACACATAGGGCACAGATGACTGGTTTGCTGAGAATGCAGCCACTTCATGATGCAGTGAATATGGAAACAATGCGAACACTGGCCCCAAACTAAAAACACGAATCTTTGATTAATCCTTTAATATTAAATTTTCAAATGTTTATGATAGAAATTAAAGGGATTCAGTGTTAATTAGATGACGAGGCCACGGGGACGCGTACCTAGCGATGACGACCGACCGACAAGTCGTTCCTTGGTTCCGTTTACATGAGCGCGCGAGTGTTAAATGCGTACGAAAAGTAAGGGAGGAGAACGTAAGCGATCCCTATTATTCGACACCGGCATTCCGATCGATATTACGACAAATTCAATGCGCAGATGCCAAAGCGGGAATTTACGAAAATGTATCAACTAATTCTTTTTTTTTACCATATTCCTATCATTTGATCGTTTTAATTTTAGTCAACTTAATTCTAATCAAGGAAAAGTCAATTTAAATTTTTTTAATTCAAAATTAATCGAGACAACGATTTACCCGCCAATTTCATATTTGGTATCAAAAAAAAAGCAAATATTAGATCAGAGAATGGAATATGCAAAAGATCAAGAATTTACACTCCATTATTTCGTGTACTTTTTGTCGAAAGTATGATTTTGTATTATTAATTATGTAAATATATAATAAATCAATTATCAATACCTAAAGGACAGTCATCCCCTGGAATTTTGCAATCCGGACAACTCGCATCGAAAGGCATCCTACAAATTCCGCAGTTATCATCGTTCGCTATCCAACGCCAGGTGGCAACACCTGTCCAACCTAAAAAATCAACACCCCATTACCCTCAAATATTTTTAGATATTTTTTATATTATTCTTTTACAAAGATTAACATATCTAATTATACTCACTTTTTATTGTGACTTTCATTTTGAAAAGTTTTGAATTGTATTGCGGTGGATTAGATAATAAATTTATTTAAATTATTAATTGCAAAGGTTAGACCACACAATATCGCTTTTTGCGGATGTAAATGACACTTTTTGCTGGAAGATATTTACGTTCTTTTGCTATGCTTAATCTGTTATTTTCAAATTGTACACCGAAAAGAAAATGAAAATATTAAAAAAATTATAATGAAATTACACAACGTTCAAGGAATAATACGTAAACATGGCCTGTACCGAAACGAATAACACGTGAAATCTATGTTGTCTTGTAACGCCCTCATGTGTAATAAAATAGGAATTTAGGAGTGATTACTGCTCTTTCATTGACTTTTTTAACAGTAGATTAAATATTATTTTAACACTAGATATACCACCATTTTCAGGATACCTATTTCTACCACACCGAAGTAGAAATTTTGAATTAAAATGGCCCGACCAGTCAAAATGACTAGTCTGGTATATCTAGTGTTAATTACTTAGTTGTTATCGACCGAGAAAACTAGAATGGTAAGACAGTTGCATTTCCAAAGAAAAGCAGTTGGAACTTTGAAAATTTGTTTTCTTATAATATTATAAATTTATTTATACGATATAAATTATTTGGCTGAATAATCTTTACTTTTCTTTATGACAGCATACTTCTATAAATCCTATAAATTTAAAATATAACGAATTGGAAATAGTTTTTACATTAGGTAAAAATTTAATAATAATTTATTAACTTTACTTATGATCTTATATATTGCACGATTCATATAATTTCAAATTCATTTGTTTGGTCATTAAAGCAAAGTTTATTCTATTGAAGTGAACTTATAGATATATGTTTCTACATAGAATAGCAGGTGAAATTTTTCATTTCTAACATTCATTTAAACTTATTCAAAAGAAAGATCAATTTTAAATGGAACTTTACGACCTTAGAGCCTTCCGAGTTTCCTCAAAGAATGAATGGATATACAAAGTAAAGGAATATAAATACTTGTAAAAGAACATGTGTTAAAGGGAACGAGCAAAACATTTTTAAAAACTGCCTTCGTTGAAGAAAAATTTACTTGTAGAGCGTGTTTAAATGTACAATAATTTTGTTCCGTATAATTCATAGATATGATATTGTTTATTATCAAGATATTATATAATATCATAACAAAAAATACAAAATAGTAAGAATTCCCACAAGTTAAGGAATCCCTCAATATTTACAACTATCTACAATTCTATTAGTTTTATCATTAGAATAAACGAAATATTGTTATTAAACGAAAATGTTACGTTTTTCCCCCCACAGCCGATCAAAGTGTTGTAAGGTATCTAGTAAATCTCAAGTCTCTCTCCCCACTTCTGAACCTAAAGAAAATAAACGATTCAACCAACCAGAGGGCGATCGGTTGATTCCTCATACCGAGCCAGTGGTCTCATCCGCGTGACCACGTCCTGGAGTGCAGGAGGTTTCTTGGTAGCCGCCATGTTGACAGTGCTCAACTCAGACACGAGTTTATCTTGGATGTGTTGCACCGGAGCCGGCATTTACGTGGCTATGGCTCGACAAAGTCTCCCTACTTGACTACTTTACCAAAGGGAATTCTCAGCTCTAATAACACGAGGGAAACCGTACAAAAGGAATCGAAATTTCGAGCGAACAGTAAACGCAAGACTTCTCAAGCTTCGTAATGCGGAACATTCGACCGGTTAGTTCAGAGAACATGATCTTTTTCTTCGAATAAAGTTTATTCTTTTGAAGCGACGACGAAGACGTTCTTCTCAACAAGTTGATGCCCCCTTGAAAAAGATACGGCACTGTGCACTCTCTCACTGTAAAATGCGGCCCCGTATCTCGAGGGCCAGCCTGTGCGCTGTTCAACGCGGCACTATCCACATATACAAGTTTCTCTGTAATCTTAGATAAAAAGAGTGCTGATACATTATATGATAAATTTCATTTATCTTTTTCATTTATATTTTTACAATCAAAGAAAATATTACTGAAAGATATTCATTCAGTGTCTGAAAGTGTAGCATTCAAAGAAGTATTAAAACTACCTAAATAAGATAAAGAACGACGGAGAGTGAAAGAAAGAAAGAGAGAGAGGGAGAGAGAGAGGAGGAGGAATTAGCGAGAGAATGCAGCATCGTGAAGGTCGAGTGAGTGACAGATGGCACGCGAAGGTAGTACCAGGAAATTGTAAGAGTTCGTGCTTGCGCACCAATGCAACGATTAAAGCAACTCTTTGAGTCGTCGATGCTGCGTGTCACACTCGGAAGCTCAGCCGCGCCTTAAATATTCACAATGACTGTGATATCACAAGTAAAATAAAATATAAAAAAAGAGACGATAAAAGGGGAATTAAGAACGTTGTTCGTGTGTAGTATGTGCGAATTCGACGCAAGCAGAAACGAAAGAAGAAGAAGAATACGAGGAAGGCGAAGGAGTAAACTGGAGAGGGCCTCCTCCTCTCGTGTAGGTAGTAGTAGGTCTGTGGACAAACCGATTGAGTGAGTGAGAAAGATAGAGAAAGAGAGAAAGAGAGAGAGGCCAGTTCGTCTGACTGACCCAGATTTTCGCGGTTCAGACGAGACGAGGGAAAAGAAAAGACAGCAGGAGAAGACTCGGACTATCTGAAATGGGTCACGACGCAGCCTGGAGCTAAATTAGCCGCGATGTCCAATAAGAGTAAGACTCAGCCGCAGCAGCAGCAGCAGCGTCCATTGCACGTGATCAAGCCAGTGGATCAGGTGCCACCGCGGTATCAACCGCCGCCGCAACCTACCAGCGGCATCCTGAAGAATCATCCACATTTTAGCAGTACCACCACAGTACCATCGCTACCACTAGCGACAGTTAACACGGTACTTCAAAACACACAAGGTCAGGGTACGGCCTCGACCTTGACTCATCATCATCATCATCATCATCACCATCAGCAACATCAGCAGACGACGCAACCACGTAACGCGTCTCAACAGAAGAATGCTCAAGGCAAATACTCGCCGAGGATAGAACACAGATATCATCCACAAGGTGCTGCTGCTGCCACTGCTAATATCTTAACAAGTGGAGCTTCGACCACAGCTTCTACCAAAAGTCAGGCTTATCTTCAAACCAAGATCGGACAAGGACAATATCTCCCACCTAATAGTCAGTATCCTACCATCGGTAGCAGTAACAGTGCTAGCAGTCAACCTGTACTGAGCAGACAGAGGCTCACCGACGAGGAGTTCCTTAGACTCGGCCCTGTGGAGATGCTCAAGTTTGTGCGAAAGACAGAAAGTGACATCGCACGGCTAGCTGCCGAGCAGAATCGTCAAATACAAAACTTGGTGAGGATTCGTATTTTGGCGATATTTCTGTTTTCCACGTGGGTCGGTGCTACGCATGCTTTCTTCATCGGCTTTCCACGTATATATATATTGTTCCCTTCGAAATAGATATAATTCACGTTTTAATCAATCGATACCAATATCTCTGAAATTATTAATAATATTCAACAATAATTATAAATCTTTTAATCGTACGACTCGGCGTATCAACAAATAAAAGAGACGTTTAAAAATTTTCATTTTTGTCTGCACACTTTTCGATATCATTGACAAATTTGTACGATATACAAAATATAAGACAATATTTTAATGTGTGAAATTTTAAAATAATATTTATTTTCAAACAAACGAATGAAAATTTTATAATTCCTTATGCCGAATCGTTATTTCGTTTTCAAAAAATCCAAGAATAAAAGTAGGACCCGGTACGCAATATACGGAAGTTTTTGAAAGGCTCTTCTAGGTCATACGCGGGTCGAACTCGCAATCGTAATTTCGACCGGTCACACACACGTAAAGATCAACAAAAAAAATGAAAAAAGGCGGATTTTCTGTCCACTATACAAAAAGAAAATTATATAGGGTTGAAAAACACGATAATGGAAAGAATACGAATATTATCGATTAATGCATGTTTTCTTTAATTGATAAATAATTGGTAAAAAATGATGTCACGTGACAACGATATACGGCTAAGTAATTGACGAATATTAACTTTGATTTTCGATCAATTATAACATAAAATCAGATATAAAAATAAACTATGATTTAATAATTTAATTTAATCTTTAATATTGTATTTAATAAATATTGATATAAGTAATTTTCTAAGTAAATTGGAAATAAAATTTAATTTATTTTTAGCTCAGTGAGCTTCGTGCTCTGAAGGAGGCCAACCAAAGACTCAGCGACGACAATCAGGAATTACGAGATTTGTGTTGTTTCCTGGACGATGACCGACAAAAGGGCCGGAAGCTGGCAAGAGAATGGCAAAGATTTGGTAGGTACACAGCCAGCGTTATGCGACAGGAAGTATCAGCTTACCAAAATAAATTGCGGCAACTGGACAACAAGCAGCAGGAATTGATAAAGGATAATCTCGAATTGAAAGAGCTCTGCCTGTATTTGGACGAGGAACGAGGGGGAGTTCAGAGGGACGACGGGGATGGATCGAGTTCGAGTACGAATGCGGAGGAAACCGCACCACCAAGGCCAAGACACACTTCTACGTTTAACGGTAAATCCTCTCTTCGAGATTGGCGGTTATATTGATGATAAGAAGAAATTAGAAATTAAGTCAAACGTCAAATGTATATATATACATAAAAAGGATGAAAAGATTCAAATGATAAAGATTTACCTTAATTACAGACCAAACTATGCAATATGTAAGGAGTTTGGAACAACGCGTTAAGCAGCTGGAAGAAGACAAAAGTGTTTTACAGGCAAGAGCTCGAGGATGGGAAGCGGGTGAAGTCTGGGACAATCCTAACAGTCCGAGCGATAATTCTCATATCGGAGGTAGACCCGAGGCCGTCGTACGAGCTCTTCAAGTTCTCGAAGTTAGAGAACAGTTGGAAAGAGAAGATGGACACGACGGCGAGAAAGCTCTAGTTCGAGAAATGTGTAATGTAAGTTATTTTGTTGTCATTTACATTTTAAATTATATGTATAATAATTACTATCCATTTTTTGTTTCTTTTAGGTTGTATGGCGTAAGTTAGAAGAAGGCCCACAAACAAGGCATTAGAGAATCTTTTCAAAGTGCAAATTCGTCGATTACGATATTAAAAACATTATTATGCAATATTCAAATGCCTATGGCGTGTCGATAGTATTATAATAGTTAATACGTCCAATGTGTTATATATTTTATAGATTTATATATATATATATATATATATATATATATGATGTATATGTTTACTCATGGATTCATTCCTAGTGAAAGCGTTGTATTATTGTAGCTATAATATCGATCTATTTATGTAAAACTTGTAGTGCCGTTAGCTTGCCTAGATCGACTGTTAATAAACTCTATTTTTATTAAACTATGTCTATCATTTATTTATTATGTAAATATCTTCGCTAAAATTAGAAATACGTTTTTTATAAGTTCGAAAGAAACATAAATACATATCGTAGTAAAAATGAGCCCTTAAAAAATGAACTTTTGTTTACAATATCGATCTTTCATGTTCTATCTACTAAATTAAACATATTGTTTACCTTTAGTACCTTTTATGAATAGAGATCTTTCTTTTTTACGTGAAAATGATTCCGTGAATAAGGTAGTACAACGTGACACTGTTCCTATTTTTAAAGTATGAAAAGACTATCTCTCAATGGAGTTCCATACCTTGCCCTGAATTCACTTCGGTTGTGAAAACATACCGTTTGGCTCTTTCTTTGGTCCAGCCAAAAAAAGAACAAATATAAGCATTTTCCTTTCTCCTACTATTTCGATTCAGAAAGTACCATAAAAATATGACACTATTTTAAAAATGATAATATTTACTTACAAAAATTTGTTATGAATATAAATAATATGAAAAATAATAAAAAAATATAACGAACATTAACTATCACGAAAAAAGTTGAAAAATCTCAAATTGGCATTTAAAAAGTTTTAATTGGTGACCTTCAACTATAGCAAACACTTGGATCATCGCGAGATTTTGTCGACGAGTTTGCGCCGGTCCAGTTGAAGAGGAAAAGTGGGGATCGCATTGGACATTGGTGTCAGAGAGATGAGAGTCACCGGTGATGTGCGTGTGCGGAGGCCTCGCGGAGGACAACGCAAGGTTCATCCTCCTCGCTATCGTCCTGGCAGCTTACATGCTCGCAGGCGCGACTCTTTTCCAAATACTAGAGGGTGACCTTGAAATACGACAGGTAAGATGATCGTTTTTTCATTTTTACAATTTATATCAATTGGATTTAATACAAACATTTGAAATGCGTTACTTAATAATATGCTGGCAATTATTAAAAAATGCTTGAATGAAAATTATTAAAAAAATAAAAATATGACTCTATCATTTATGTTTTTCTTTTTTTTCATAACGTGCATGCAGGCTGCAGAATTTTGGCGGGTATATCATGCTTTTCGAAAGCATCACCTACGTGGTAGTCCACTAGCGCTTCAGAGATTACACGAACTTCTTTACGCCTACGGAAACGCATCATCTGCCGGTATCATTAACAAAAGACGGCGTTGGGATTTTCCAGGCAGTTTTCACTTCGTAGGCACCATCGTTTCCACAATTGGTAAAAAATATAATACACTATCTTTTGGAATTTCGAACATTTCAAATGCACTCGTGCAACGACCGAGGATAAATGGGGTCACTAGACGACGCGTCGTCTTGCATCTTATTAAGCTTTGTAATCCTCTTATAAGATATTTTTTTTTTAAATATACATCTTGTTTATATTCTAGTTATATATTCTTGTTTTCTTACCTGATTATTATTATAATTATTATTATTGTGGTTGTAATATTCATTATAATGATATTATTATCAAAACTTATATTCATTCAAATTGCTTTGATATGCAATTTTTTGGTGAAGCATTTAAAGGGCACACGTTTATTTAATATTTTTTCTTATTTTAACTTATAGAAAATGTTTGTAAAATTTTTGCAAAAAAAACTGAGTCACCCTGTATATAACACTTTATTTTCTTATCTAATAATAATCATTAGTGTTGATCGTATAATAATATTATCATGAAAATTTATATATATAGATCTGTAACATTATTTTTCTCTAAAAACGATCTAAAATGAAAATATGTTATTCCTTTTTCTGGATTTATTTCTAACACGAAGATCCCCCGGCCGGTTATACCACCTGTTCGGATATATCCTGTATATATTTATACTTTCTTATCCTATTATAATAATTAATAATAGTGTTCACTATAAGCATTGTCTTTAAAATTTGTATTCATCCACGAACTGATCATAAGCATTTATAATTGTTTTTCACGTCGATAATAATGATGATGATCTTATTGTAATTTCCTATCTAAAGAAACACACATAAATGAATAAGAAAAACAAAAATGCATGTGCAATAAAATACACGCAATTAGTACGTTATCGCGTTAGAAGGTAGTTGTACGGTAGAATGGTACGGAATAAAAGGACTACGGTCATCAGCCCCTTCAAGCGTGAGAATGCACGGTGAATTCTGGAATGCTAATATCTTGCGACCTAGTCTAGTACTTACCCTCTCGACAACTCCTTTAGCCGTCGATATGTACGTTTGCACGTACCCATAAGTAGATATCTCTCTCTCTCTCTCTTTCCTGATAGAAAGATTTTTAGAAGATGAGTTCAATGTATGAATCTGAATCTTCTTTCAGGATACGGAAGTACTGCTCCACAAACTACGGCAGGACGAGCAGCTGTTGTTTTTTATGGATTCTTCGGTTGTTCTGGTAATAATAGACACCATACACTGTGCCTTTTTTTAACGTAAAATATGAATTAATAAAATATGAATAAATTCATGTTGAAAAAGAAGAAATAAGAAAATATTATTCTTATTAATAGATTCTTACTTTAATATATCGTTCCATAAGTTTTTACCGTTATATTTGCTGTTTGCATGCATATATTACACTGCACTGATGTGAGTTAGAACAAAGTGGAACGGTGACCTATTTACATGGAACAAAAGAATGAGTCTTCGACGTCTAAATTGTAATAGGCATAGTTATTATAATATCAGGACTAGAAAACGGTATGCAACGTCCTATTTGTACGGATATATGAAATAACCTCGATATATGCTTGAATTTATCGATTATACATCAAATCTCTTATAAAGGAGAGGGAAAAAATAAACAGATTAAAAAGAAATTGAATGAAATAAAAAATAAAATCCTAATAACATAAATTTTTGTTCATGATCTACCAGGTGGTATCCTATTCTTCAATCTCTTCCTTGAAAGGATCATCACATTTTTGGCTTGGATTTTGAGGAGTCTTCATTTATATCGCATTAGAAAACGTCTTCGACAAAGTTCAACATCTTCTCGACGAGTATCCAGATTATCCAACGCAAGATCGTCTCTTCCGGATATCCTCGATGACGATGACGACGGAAGTTTAGAAGAATGGAAACCAAGCGTCTATTGGGTCATGCTTTATCTCTTATTAGCTTCTTGTATAACCGCATGCGTTGCTGCTGCGGTTTATGCACCGCTAGAAGGTTGGGAATACTTCGACGCTCTCTACTTCTGTTTTGTTAGCTTTGCCACCATCGGTTTCGGTGATTTCGTTAGCACGCAAAAGATAAATTATCCGTACGTCCATTGGTAAGTAAATCTCGTTAAAATGTCTTCTTTTTATTTCATCGTCAATATTTTCTATTATTAATTGATTTTTATTTTTACAGGTACAGATTTGCCAATTTTATTTTCCTCCTTATCGGCTGTTGTTGTATTTATTCGTTATTAAATGTAACTTCGATAATTATCAAGCAAGGCCTGAATTATGTGATATACAAATTACAATGTGGAAATCAAGATCTTGCCGCTCCCCATCTGCCTAGAAGAAAGTCCTCCGTTTCTTCTATATATTATTCCAAACGTAGATCTATGAAATTAGTTGGTAAAGATTCGATCAGAGCCGCGGAGGATGATCCTAATGGTTCCAGACGTATGTCAGGAGAATTAATTTCCATGAAAGATTTTCTCTCTGCCAATAAAGTATCCCTGGCTGTGATGCAGAAACAACTTTATGAAGCTGCTCAAATGCAAAAAGGTGGTAGTGGTGGTGGTCCAATAGCAACAACTCCAAGCCATCAATCATCGGTATTTAAACCTGGTGCGGTTGGTCCTTTAGCGATTGCTAGCGAAAAATTTGGAAATAAAACTTCGATTAATAGGTAGAAAATAAATTTACGAAACGTAGCCATTTTACTTACTAGATTTTACGATCTTTCACGAGTCATGTTTCTTTTTAGTTTTTACAATACGCAAGTGCACTTTGTTATTGTCACGTATGCGTAATATGTTATATTATATTTTACAAGGTTTTAAAATGTAGCTTATTGAAATAAAATCTAGATTACAATTTTATACGATGGTTAGATTGATTTTTGTTTCTTTTTTTAAAGTAGATAGATTTAAACTATAATTTTCAATAAATTTAATTATTTTTTTTTATTATTAGTACTTGCCACTGTATAATAATAATAATAATAATAATAATAATAATAATAATAATAATAATAATTATTATTATTTTTATTATTATATTATTATTATTATATTATTA